GCCAGAAAATTTCTTACAAGAATATGTGTTGGCAATGTTACACATAAACATCAGCAGCGACGATTGAATATCACTAATGACAGTCATTGGAACACCACTCTGCAAGGGAAAGATGTATCAAATTCTGCAACCTTAGCACAAAACTTATTTATCAAAAGAATACACAGCAAAAACTAAATAGATGTCTGGTGATCATTGCTCATTAACTAAATAAAAGTTAATCATTTCTTGGAAAACCAAAATGTGAAGCATCAGTTACATTTCATCTAATATTTGTCAACAAGAACATGGACCTTAATTGTCTATATGGCTGAAGTTCAGGATGAGAAAGTGCAAAAAGTCAGGTCAGATGAGAAGCATCCATCTCTAAAGGAACGCGATTTTAAATGGAGAGAGCAAGGAAATCACCAAAAACTAAAAAAAAGGACAAAAGGTGGCAAGTCCTTAGAACTAGAGTTGGAAGAAATTGCATAACAGAACAAGTCATTCTTATTTAAACTTCTCACTTTCTTTTCCTAGTTGGACAAAGGATTTTGACCAAATGAAATCCATGACAGATTTTCATATTGGCATACTCTACCTTCCCAATCTTACAATAAGCATCATAACCATACAACTACGGCTGACTATCTAGTATGGAAAGCCAAACTATGAAAAAGAGGATAAAGTTGAACAAACAAGCAATATATGAGTAAAGTTGGTCAAAAGAATGCTTTGAGCTTTTGTAGTAATATTTGGGATCAAATGTTGAAGTTAACAGAATGCATTATCTGCATCTTCAAACTATCAATTTCTCTTTGTTTACTTTGTTCTGAAGTTCCAGGTCCAGATAGCTCTTAGAAATCTAGGTTTTAGCATTATTAAACATAAGCATCACTGGAAAAGGTCGTCACTACAATAATAATTATAAGCACAATGCGTAATGCTCCAATCTTCTAGTAGAATTACTTGACAACTAAATAACCAACAAGTAGTGGATAAAGTTGCAAAGATCAATGTTATACTAAACACTCTCAGCATAATTCACAAACCTGAAGACCATAACAGCATTAAACAAACCAAACCTTGCATATTACGAGATTGAATTCTAGAAATCCCTAAACCTTCACCAAAAGTATTGTTCTCTAGGCAGTTACACCAGTTCAAGCTTTAAAAGTAAGCTAAAGGCAGCAAGTAAATGTTCAACTACATGTGGAGTGGTGCAGACAACATTTCAAAATCAGTATTACATGTTTTTCTAGTGCCCCCAATATGTGAGGTAACACCCCTAGCTCATTGACAGTGAGGAACTTGTCGCAAGCTAGACTTTTGAATTCTCTATCTTCTCTCTCTCTCTCTCTCTTTTGTGTGT